TTTAATGTTCTCAAAATTTGAAATGTCAAGTATTAGAAATGAAGCCTTTGAATATATTCATGTTTCCCTTGCAATATGTTAACTCTGTGTAGCTGTAAATAACTATTAATAAATTTCCCTCATCTCTTTTATAGGCTTGATAAAACTCTTCTCTGACATTTGCTAGCTTTTAAATATATTTATTTGACAGAGCAAAAGAACCCTCTTCTTCTGGTTGATTGTGTCCTTGAATACAAAATAAAAGTTAGTAGTGATTAGTAGTTTACAGTGACTTTTTTTCATTTTATTAACAAAGTCAATTTTTAAAAATTGTAAAATATATGTCACATACTATTTACCATTATATCAGCTTTTAAGAGTAAATTCAATGGCATTAATTATGTTCATAATGCTGCACAACCTTCACCACTGTTTCTAAAAGTTTTTCATCAACCCAAACAGAAACTTGCAACCATTAAGCAATAACTCCCCATTGCCCCAGCCCCGGTAACCTCTAGTCTACTTTTTGTCTCTATGAATTTGTGTATTCTTGATCTTTCTTTCTTTCATTCTTTCTTTTCTCTCTCTCTGTTGCTCAGGCTGGAGTGCAGTGGTGTGATCTCAGCTCACTCCAATCTCAGCCTCCCGAGTAGCTGGGATTACAGGCATACACCACCATACCCAGCTAGTTTTTGTATTTTTAATACAGATGAGGTTTCACCTTGTTGGCCAGGCTGGTCTTGAACTCCTGATCTCAGGCGATCCACCCACCTTGGCCTCCCAAAGTGCTGGGATTATAGACATGAGCCACTATGCCCAGCCTATTCTTGATATTTCAAAGAGGTAGAATCCTACAGTATATTTTGGGTCTGACTTATTTCATTTACAGTGTTTTCAAGGTTCAGCCATGTTGTCGCATGTATCAGGACTTTGTTTCTTTTCATGGGTGAATTATGTTTTATTATATGTCTGCGTGTATACACATGCACTTCCTCCACACATTTTGTTTATCCATTTATCTGTTGATGGAAACTTTTTTCCCCCACCTTTTGGCAACTGTAAATAACGCTGCAGTGAACATTGGCATACAACTATCTGAGTACCCATTTTCAGTTCTTTCGAGTATATCTAGGAGTAGTATTCCTGAATCATGTGGTATTCTGTGTTTAATTTGTTGAGGAACCACCAAACTCTTCCATAGTGCCAAAATGTTTTCTGAAGCGTCTATACCATTTTACATTCCATTAGCGATATATGGGCATTCCGGTTTCTCCACGTTTTTGCCAACACCCTTCATTTTCAGCTTTAAAAAGTCATTACAAACCCAGGGCAATGGTCTGTGTCTGTGATCCCAGCTACCAGGGAGGCTGAGGTGGGAGGATCATTTGAGCCTAGGTGTTTGAGGCCAGCAAGAGCAATATAGTGAGACCCCCATCTCTAAAAATAAAAAAAAATTATAGCCATCCTAGTAAGTATGAAGTGCTGTCTCATTGTGGTTTGATTTGCATTTCACTAATGATGAGTGATATTGCCATAGGAAAATTGGATTGCCTTTTTCTTGTTGCATTTCAGTTCTTTATTCTTTTTTTTTTTTTTTTTTTTTTTTTTTTTGAGACAGAGTTTCGCTTTTTGTTACCCAGGCTGGAGTGCAATGGCGCGATCTCGGCTCACCGCAACCTCCGCCTCCTGGGTTCAGGCAATTCTCCTGCCTCAGCTTCCTGAGTAGCTGGGATTACAGGCACGCGCCACCACGCCCAGCTAATTTTTTGTATTTTTAGTAGAGACGGGGTTTCACCATGTTGACCAGGATGGTCTCGATCTCTCGACCTCGTGATCCACCCGCCTCGGCCTCCCAAAGTGCTGGGATTACAGGCTTGAGCCACCGCGCCCGGCAGTTCTTTATTCTTGATATTACAGCTTTATCAGATACAGATGCTTCTTGACTTACAGTGGGGTTTGTCCTGATAAAACCATTGTAATTTAAAATTTTTGTAAGTTGAAAATGCATTTAATACCCTGATAAACTCATAAATTTGAACAATCATAAATTATTATTATTATTTTTTGAGACGGAGTCTCACTCTGTCATCCAGGCTGGAGTGCAGTGGCACCATCTCAACTCACTGCAACCTCGCCTCCTGGGTTCAAGCGATTATACTGCCTCACTCTCCCAAGTAGCTGGGATTACAGGTGCTCACCACCACGCCCAGCTAATTTTTTTATTTTTAGTAGAAACAGGGTTTCACCATGTTGGCCAGGCTGATTTCAAACTCTTGATCAGTCCACCTCAGCTTCCCAAAGTGCTGGTGTCACAGGCATGAGCCACTGTACCTGGCCACAATCATAAATTACAATTACCCTAGCGCCTCTCTATCAAATGAGGCAGTGGTGTATAACTCTGGGTTCCAGACCGCTGATCCTTAGTAGTGATAGGAGTCTTGGAACTGTTTCCATTATTGCCAGAGGTCCAATGCTATTCATGTTTTACCTTTCCTCAGGCTTCCCAAGGTCGTAACAGCTGCTGCTTTGCTTTAAAGTGGAATTCTAATGTACAATGAAGCAATGCCGGTAGACTTGGGCTGGGTAAAAATTTGGATTGGCTGTTACATAGGATCTGGCTTTTTTTTTTTTTTTTTTTTTTTTTGAGACGAGGTTTCACTCTTCTTTACCAGGCTGCAGTGCAATGGCACAATCTCGGCTTACCGCAGTCTCCACCTCTACAGGCATGCGCCACCAAGCCCGGCTAATTTTTTTTTTTTTTTTTTTTTTTTAGTAGAGATGGGGTTTTTCCATGTTTATCAGGCTGATCTCGAACTCCCGACCATAGGTGATCCGCCTGCCTCGGCCTCCCAAAGTGCTGGGATTATGCGTGAGCCACTGCGCCTGACCTGGATTCTAGTTTTTAAAGGAAAATGAAACAATTATTAGTTAATAAATGCAGTTTTATTTTATACACAAATCGTCCACAACTTTCAGGGAGAAACTGAAAGGTTCATTAGTGGTAAAAAGGCTGGAAACACCCGAGCCCAGGAATCCTAAGTCTAAAGGGCAAAAAACTACCTTTTATCCATAAGCACCCAAACACTTCCTGACCCTTTCAGCAGAAAAATGTTTTTAAATGGATCTTGATGAATTAATTCATCAGTAACTAATGCCGGGAGGCTGTTCAGGTGGAGTCTCCCACCCCAGGCTGCTGGATAAAAGAGATGGTTCTAGATTTGGACAATAATTAGCAGAGAGGTGGATTCTGAAATCTGGGGGACTTGATTTGAAATCTGGGTGGGTTTATGGAGGAAAATGTTGGGTTGGAGAAAGAACACTGAACCTGGTCAACATGAGAGAATTCCTGTCTACAGAAAATACAAAAATTAGCCTGGGTGTGGTGGCCCGTGGGAGGCTGAAGTGAGAGGATCACTTGAGCCCAGGAGGTTGAGGATGCATCAGGACTCTGCACTCCGGCCTGGGAGACAGAGCGAGACCCTGTGTCAGAAATAAACAAATAAAATAGTATTTTTTTGTTTGTTTGTTTGTTTGTTTGTTTGTTTTTTTAAAGAACCTTTCTTCAGCACTGCCTGGGAATAAGGAAAGAAAGAAAGAAAGAAAGAACCCTGGCAGACAAATAAATGTTGGAAGAGGAATTGGTGAGAGTGAAGAGGAATAGGAAAAAAATAGGGGAAAACCTTTATTACCTACTGAGTAATATGACACAATATTGTACCGTACGATATTAGCCAGTATTTTGTCAACAATCTCTACTTTCTAGAGTCAAGAAGTATCTTAAAAGTATAAGAATTGTAGTAAATGTTAGTCTTAGAATTTTGAGATTTGCTGTTCTCCAGGTCCAATGAATGCTCCCTGATCAAGGCTCCCCTGGTATAGTTCCATGTCTTCTCCTTCATAAATGCGTGAATGACTCTGGTCTTTGATTACTGGTGGTAGTGTTTCTTCTCCAGAAACACGGAGAGTACGAACTCATTTCTGAATTTCCCAACTTTCAGCCACGTAATGACTGAAACTGAACAAGTTACTTAACCTCTCCAAGCTCCAGTATCTTCAAAATGGGATTTGCAAAATGGGAATCACTGTGCCTTTCATTAGGTGGTTGTTAGCTGAAAGGAGAAAATGTGCTTAACACAGTGCCAGGAATGCACAGTGGTTAAAACTTGGTACGTGCACCGGGCGCAGTGGCTCATGCCTGTAATTTCAGCACTTTGGGAGAACGAGGTGGGCAGATGGCTTGAGACCAGGAGTTTGAGACCAGCCTGGGCAACATAGTGAAACCCTGTCTCTACAAAAAATACAAAAATTAGCTAGGCGTGGTGGCACGTGCCTGTAGCTCCAGCTACTCAGGGGGCTGAGGTGGGAGGATGGCTTGAGCCCGGGAGTTCGAAGCTGCAGTAAACCATGATGGCGCCACTGTGCTCCAGCCTGGGCGACAGAGTGAGACTCTGTCTCAAAAAATTTTTTAATTTTTTTTTTTGAGACGGAGTTTCACTCTTGTTTTCCAGGTTGGAGTGCAATGGTGTCATCTCACCGCAACCTCCGCCTCCCAGGTTCAAGCGATTCTCCTGCCTCAGCCTACCGAGGAGCTGTTATGACAGGCTTGCACCACCATGCCCAGCTAATTTTGTATTTTTAGTAGAGTCGGGGTTTCACCATGTTGGTCAGGCTGGTCTCGAACTTCGGACCTCAGGTGATCCGCCCGCCTCGGCCTCGCAAGGTGCTGGGATTACGGACGTGAGCCACCGCGCCCGGCCTTTTAATTTTTAAAAAGGTACCTGCGAGTTTTAAACAGCTCCTCTGGGGCCAGCGTGCTTTTTGATGCGTCCCGGTAAGGACCATTCTGTCCATCTCCTGACACGGAGAAGTCAAATCCTCAGTCCTGGGGTTCGGTCAGCTAGTGGGCCAGGTAATCATCTCACTCAGCTCAACCACTACTCCCAGACAGCGGCCACGTCCCGTGTCGCCCTCAAAGACTACAAGTTCCAGCATGCCTCGCTCTGGGCCATAAATACCCGCTCCTTCCGGCGGGCCCGCCTCCTCTTTGCCCTAACAGCGGGCGCGCGATGGATCCCGGTACGTGGTTGTTCGGCGGCGAGTTCGAGGACTCGGTGTTCGAGGAGAGGCCGGAGCGGCGGGCAGGACCGCCGGCGTTCTACTGCGCCAAGCGCTGCGAGCCGCAGGTGAGAAGCCGGGGCCTCTTCTTCTCATCCGGGAGCCCAGGCCTCGCTCTCCGTGGGGCCCCTGCCTCGGCCCCTGCGCCCGCGCGAACGCAAACCCTGGCGGGTTCCAACGCCCGCTGCCTCCCCCGTCGACTCTCCCACTTCACAGAGGAAGCGGCCTTCCCAGGCCCCATCCCGGCTCCACGCGCTAGAATCCCCGCGTTGTCAGCGGCTTGACTCCCACCTGGCATTTGGCAGGCCTGGCCACGGCCGGCTGGCCTCACGCCCCTGCCCGGAAATCTCCCGGTACCTCCGGTTTTTCTTCACTGCTCCTGCTGCCTGGCAGTTAGGCCCCCTAAAACAGTGACGTCCGGCAAACCTGCTTGCCCCTCCGTGTTCAGCTGGCTCCTCCTGCCCGTACCAACCCCGCGCTGATGGTCAAAGACCTCCAGTTACATCCGTTTTTCAAGGCACATCTTAAATGTCACCTCCTCCAGGAAGTCTTTTCTGATTTCCTCTTCCAGCCAAATATTTTCGTCTTTGGCTCCCTTCCCTTCATTTAGCTTCTATTTAAAGCACTTGTCAGTATTCGCATAAAGTCTAAAGACCCGGAGTGCTAAACCTAACAGTTTTTATTCATAATAGGGGCTCCGCGAATATTCCTGAATTCGCAGAGTATTGCTTCCTGTTTTGTGGGTGTAAATAGCTCATCAGTCAAAAGGGATATTTATGGAAAACGGAAGTGTTCCGGGCACTGTGATGGGCTCCTTTGCATGTGTTGTCTCATTTAGTTCCTCACAATTATTCTGACAAGATGCTAGACACTCAATAATTACTGAATTGTGTTTTTGTTTATTTCGGTTACATTTTCTCCTTATCACATGTCATCTTTCAAAGTTACCTCAGCCCTTGATCACGTAGACTCAAAACAGGCGAGGGGGGTTTGGAAATCACGTGGCAGAGCATTAAAAAACTCTGGTTATGTGATAGGACTCTTGAATTCCAGTATTGGCTTTAGAAGGTGTCAGCTCCTTATTTGTCCCTTCAGAAAAATACTACATACTGACCCAGAGTTATCGTGAGAGTGAAATGAGATAATGTATATGAAAATGCTTTGTCAGATCTGATCTGTACAGGTGCATAGAATTCTAAAGTCAAGTGAGTGTGAGAGTGTGTCTGTGTGTCTGTGTGTGTGTGTGAGAGAGAGAGAGAGAGAGAGAGAAAGGGAGAGAGAGAGGGAGAGATGGAGTTTGGCTCTTGTTGCCCAAGCTGGAGTGCAATGGCGCGATCTCGGCTCACTGCAACCTCTGCCTCTTGGTTCTTGCGATTCTCCTGCCTCTGCCTCCCAACTAGCTGGGATTGTAGATGTGTGCCACCATGTCTGGCTAATTTTGTATTTTTAGTAGAGACAGGGTTTCTGTACTGTTTTTGTTGGCCAGGCTGGTCTTGATCTCCTGACCTCAAGTGATCTGCGTGTCTCAGCCTCCCAAAGTTCTGGGATTGTAGGCGTGAGCCACCATGCCTGACCTTATTGTACATTATTTATTCAATAGTCAAACAGTCTCAGTCTCACTTTCCTTTTTATTCATAGCATTTAAATCAGTAGAAATGCAAAGTATCCCAGATGGACAATTCCTCAGACTTCTCTCCTGCAGGTTTTTGGTATTTGGTTGCATTGGAGCCTCCTTTTAGCCTTAATTTCTGTCTCCTTTGCTGAAATTCTAATTTTTTGCCATTATGACATTTTCATAATAGCACCATATCTATAATTCTTTTTTCCTATGTCCTTTTTCTACAGGAAAGCATATCTCATTTTAAAGAACCAGTGTGGGCTGGGTACGGTGGTTCACACCTGTAATCCCAGCACTTTGGGAGGCTCAGGTGGGTGGATCACCAGGTCAGGAGTTCAAGACCAGCTGGCCAACATGGCAAAACCTGTCTCTACTAGAAATGCAAATTAGCTGGATGTGGTGGCACATGCCCATAACCCTAGCTACTCAGGAGGCTGAGGCAGGAAAATTGCTTCAACCTGGGAGGCAGAGGTTGCAGTGAGCTGAGATTGTGCCATTGTACTGCAGCCTGGGCGACAAGAGCAAGACTCTATCTCAAAAAAAAAAAAAAAAGAAAGAAAAAGAAAGCATTTTAAAGAACCAATGTGGGCTGGGTGCAGTGGCTCAGCACTTTGTGAATCCAAAGTGGGCTGAGGCTGGAGGATCGCTTGAGCACAGGAGTTTGAGACCAACCTGGCCAATGTGGTGAAACCTTGTCTCTATAAAAATTACAAAAATTAGCCGGGTATGATGACATGCACCTATAATACCAGCTACTTGGGAGGCTGAGGCACGAGAATTGCTTGAACCCAGGAGGTGGAGGTTGAGTGAGCCGAGATCACACCACTGCCCTCCAACCGGGGCAACAGGGTGAGACTGTCTCAAAAACATAAATACCAAAATAAAGAACTAGTATGAACTATGCTAGGTAAATGTAGGTTCCCAGACACTATAGCCCTATGTATTGAAAACGCTGTAGATAAAACCATACGCTTGTGTGCTGCTTTTCTAGAGAGGTATCATATTATTGGTGTGCTTATTACCTGTGATAATGTTTTCTTTGAATTATTATTAAATTTAGTTTTAATTGAGACAGTTTTAATCACTCTGCTGCTCTGGCTGGAGTGCCGTGACCTGAACACGGCTCACTGTAGTCTCCATCTCGCAGACTCAAGCAGTTCTCCCACCTTAGCCCCCCCAAGTACCAAGTACACCACATCCCACATCCGGCTCCTTTTGTTTTTCTTTCTTTCTTTCTTTTTTTTTTTTTTGTAGAAATGAGGTCTCCCTCTGTTGCTTAGGCTGGTCTCAAACTCCTGGACTCAAGCAATCCTCTTGCCTCTGCCTCCCAAAGTGCTGGGATTACAGGTGTGAGCCACCACATCTGGGTTTTTTGGTTTTTTTTCTTAAACACAGGGTCTTGCTCTGTCTCCCGGCCTGGAGTGCAGTGGCATGATGGTGGCTCACTGCACCCTCAGTCTTCTGGGCTCAAGCAATCCTCCCAGCTCAGCTGCCTGAACAGCTGGGACTAAAGGGCATGTCACCACGCCCAGCTAATTATTTTTTTTATTTTTATTTTTATTTTTTTGAGGAGGAGTTTCACTCTTGTTACCCAGGCTGGAGTGCAATGGCGCGATCTCGGCTCACCGCAACCTCCGCCTCCTGGGTTCAGGCAATTCTCCTGCCTCAGCCTCCTTAGTAGCTGGGATTACAGGCACGTGCCACCATGCCCAGCTAATTTTTTTGTATTTTTAGTAGAGACGGGGTTTCACCATGTTGACCAGGATGGTCTCGATCTCTTGACCTCGTGATCCACCCGCCTCGGCCTCCCAAAGTGCTGGGATTACAGGCTTGAGCCACCGCGCCCGGCCGATTATTTTTTATTTTGAGACAGTCTTGCTCTGTTACCCATGCTGGGGTGCAGTGAGGTGATCTCTGCTCACTGCCACCTCCACCTCCTGGGTTCAAGCAATTCTCTTGCCTCAGCCTCCCAAGTAGCTGGCATTACAGGCATGTACCATCATACCTGGCTACTTTTGTATTTTTAGTAGAGATGGGGTTTTGCCATGTTGCCCAGGCTGGTCTTAAACTCCTAGGGTTAAGTGATCCACTGGCCTGGGCCTCCTAAAGCTATGGGATTACAGGCTTGAGACACTGTAGCTGGCCTGCCCAGCTAATTTTTTAATATTGTATGGAAGTAGGGTCTCTCGCTATGTTGCCTAGACTGGTCTCAGACTCCTGGCATCAAGCAGTCTTCCCACCTGGGCCTCCCAAAGTGCTAGGATTACAAGTGTAAGCCCCTGCACCTGACCAGCTTATGATCATTTTAATAAAAATGGAGCCAAAATTAAAATGTTCATTATTTGTCAGTGTGTTTCTCCCGCGTCTCATTTTGAAGAAGTCTTTTTGTGAGGTTTAATCAGTTATATTGGAAACTGCTTCTGAATATGAGGGGGAAAGCATAGCTTCACTCTGTAATAGACTGTTTTCGTGATTTCAAGTGGTTTTATGAAGAAACGGAAAGCAGTGATGATGTTGAAGTGCTGACTCTCAAGAAATTCAAAGGAGACCTGGCCTACAGACGGCGAGAGTATCAGGTAGAATTCAACATACAGAAGATGGTGGGGCTTGAAGGGGGCTCTTGTTTTGTCAATGACAGCACATATAAATAACAGTGTGCCAAGTGAGTGTGGTGTTTGTGAAGGTGAATTGAATCTCTTGTGATGTGTATTTATGATCTGAGGCTCCCACATTTCTGTTCTTTCCTGCCTGGCTCTGTATGATGTGTTTGGTTTCCTGTAACTCCAACAAAAGGATCTCTCTGGGGTCCTCATAGGTTTATTCCCCAAGGCTCTGTATCTCCTCATAGGATCCTCCAGCACAGATACCTCACAGTGACACAGGAGCAAACCACCCAAAGATGTGTAAGAAAAAGGAAGAACTAACAGCTAGATGCTAGGTTGCATTACATGTGTATCTCATTTCCTCTTCATGAGAATCCTGCTTTTATTTTGCTGATGAAAAGATTATAAAGCAAGTTAGTGGCAAAACCTGAATTCAAGGTATATTTGGTCCAAAAATGTTCTTTCTACTATACCATGATGCTTTCCATGGTAGTGGTGGTTACATTCTCTCGCTATTCCTTGTCTGCCTTTTAGGGAAATAGGATTGACTAGATGTATTAGTCCATTTTCATACTGCTGTGAAGAAATGCCCAAGACTAGATAATTTATTTGAAAAAAAAAAAAAAAAAAAAAAAAAGAGGTTTAATGGACTCATAGTTCCACATGGCTATGGAAGCCTCACAGTCATGGCAGAAGGTAAAGGAGGAGCAAAGTCACATGGCGGCAGGCAAAGCAAGCCTGTCCAGGTTTTATAGAAGCCTGCCTTCTATAAAACCATCAGATCTCGTGAGACTTACTCATTGCCGTGAGAACAGCATGGGAAAAACCCGCCCCCTTGATTCAGTTACCTCCCACCAGGTTCCTCCCATGACGCATATAGGTTATGGGAGCTGCAATTCAAGATGAGATTTGGGTGGGGACACAGCCAAACCATATCACTAGAATATTGAAATCTTCTTTAATTCATTTAAATATTCATTTAATTCATTGATCAGTTATAACATTACTTTCCACCTATGAAAAAAATCATCCCTATTCTGAATCCTTTTTGCTGTTATATTTTCCACCTTTCTTTTCTTTATTTAACAAATAATTTCCAGAAAGCACTGTGCGAGTATTCCAGTATCTCTGAAAAATTGTCATCAACCAATTTTGCCATGAAAAGGGATGTCCAGGAAGGCCAGGCTCGGTGTCTGGCTCACCTGGGTAGGCATATGGAAGCGCTGGAGATTGCTACAAATTTGGTGAGTGGTTTTATTGCTTATTTTCACACATTCCTATACCAAGCATGGTCGAATGGTTTATTTTCTGAAAACAAAACAAACTTCTTGCTAGTAGCAAAATCTTGGGTTTGGATAAGCTGAAGAAAATTGTCAGGGATGTGAGAGCTTTATTATGATGAACAGCTTGGAGTCTATACATAATTATTTTTTTGTAATATTTTTCTTTCTTTCTTTTTTTTTTTTTGAGATGGAGGCTTGCTCTGTTGCCCAGGCTGGAGTGCAGTGGTGTGATCTCGGCTCACTGCAACCTCCACCTCCCAGATTCAAGCAATTCTCCTGCCTCAGCCTCCCAGGTAGCTGAGGCTGAGACTACAGGCACGTGCCACCACACCCAGCTAATTTTTGTATTTTTAATAGAGATGGGGTTTTGCCATGTTGGCCAGGCTGATCTCGAACTCCTGACCCTATGATTTACCTGCCTTCGCCTCCCAAAATGCTGGGATTACAGGCGTGAGCCACTGTGCCCAGCCTCTTGTAATATTTTTCTTACGTCATGCTCAAAATTCTTTATTGCCTGAAAATCCCCTTTGCAGAGGTTTTTCTCTTATTAGGAGTAACATTCAGTGTGGAAGGATTACAAGTGATCTGTTTTCTCTGTTAGATTGTTTTTAGACTTTATTCTCCAAAATTTCTACAACAAACATACATTAGAAAGCACAAAAAAGGTCCCCCCCCAAAATGACTAAATACTCATACCAAGCCACACTTAATAGTCCTTTTTAAGTGGAATTTGCAGAATTTTTTTTTCTTTTTTCTTTTTTCTTTTCCGCAGTCAACAGAAGTTACACTTTATTGAGGCCCCAGAGCCATGGCGCCTGGAAAGGAGGCTGCCCTTCAGGGAAGGAAGAGCCTTCTCTGACTTGGAGTGCAGGTTGTTGGTGTGGCTGTGCTTCGTCTCGTGGTAGCCAACAGCACAGGCGAGCACAGCACTTGCGGCAGATCATCTTGTCGCAGCTGTATTTCTGGGCAAGCTGACAGAGGGAAGGTTCAGTAATGCCACCTCGCACTGGGTGCAGGGTGGACTCTTTCTGGATGTTGTCTGAGAGAGTGCAGCCATCCTCCAGCTGTTTACGCAAATAACAGACACTGCTGGTCAGGTGGGGTGCCCTCCTTGTCTTGAATTTTGGCATTGACATTCTCAGCGGGGTCTCTGGGCTCAACCTCAGCGGTGATGGTCTTGCCTGTGCAGTCTTCACAGAGATCTGCATCTCTGTGTCTGCAGCTTGGCTGCCTTGCTGGAGAAAAAGGGAATTTTTTTTTCTTTAAAAAATTTATTGCCTTTTTCCACACATCCTGAAGCATACATTTTTTTTAAGGGATAAAGAAAGGCAGTTATTTCCAATTCTAGTTTCTATTTGCTTTTGTTTCTAGGTTAAGGCATTGTTTTTTTTGTATTGATTTTTGTGTAAATTTTATACGGGAATGAGTCTAAATGGCCCAGTTTTTTTCCTCGGAGGGAATGAATGAGACACTGTGGCACTGATCTTGAGCTCTGTGGATGTACAGCCCAGCGGTCAGCCTCAAGTACGTACGCAATTGAGCTGTCATCCGCCATCTCATTAACTAACAGAAATCCCTAACCTTTGCCTGCCCAGGGCTTCACTGCATGGCACCTCAGCCTCTTGCCATTCGAGGAAACTTTGGCAGTAATTGTCCTAAGGACATGGAAAACAGCTGTGTTTTGTTCTTTCTTTTCTGTTCTCTACTAATTAGGGGTTAATGCTTAAGCTGAAAGATACATTGACTTGTTAAGGGTTTGCACGAGCAGTTAACTAGATTGGATTTAATTGTGTTCATTTCTAGTCTCCCCCGTCTGCAAATTAACAGTGCTCGCGGCCCTTCCGCTGCCTTTCTCCAGCCTTCAGGACTGTTCTCTCTCAGCAGCGTCTCTTGCACCTCACTTGTCTTGTGCTTTGTCTTTGCCTTGATTGTTGAAGGGAGTGGCAGCTGGATTCCTGGCAGAATCTGGGTCATCTCTAGTTCCTTCTAGCTTAGGGAATCTGTTTCTGTGGCTCCGAGAAGGATCTGTTGCCAGTCAGCCAATGCCAGGTCTCCGGGACTGGGGATGGTTACTAGGCAGGAGAAACACCAGTCAGAAAACCCTACACTGTCAGAACTCAGGCGTCCTGGCAACCTGGTGGGCAGGACTATCAGGTGGAAAGTGTGCTCACGGGGCTCGCCCCTCTCTGTGGGCCTCCCGCATGGTCTCAGAGGACCCTGCCGTCTGTCCGGCATTCTCATCTCCTGGTAAGCTGTGCTTTGTTTTGGTTTTTAAATGTCTTCTGTACTTGAGGACCCTCGCCTTTGTTATCAGCTCTGGCCCATATCTGTTTTTTTTGGTGACAGTGGTTACTGTCCTTTCACATTCTGCAGGGGGACTGGTCGTAGTATGTAACATTGAACAAAATAGATGGCAAGTCCCAGGGTGCCCATCAAGATACAAACATTTTCTGTTCACAACTTCTGCTGAAATTCATTCATCTCTTTTCTTCATGATTTTTTGATAAAATGTATAGTAGTACTTATTTCATCTTTTTTTTTGTATGAATTAAACCAAATATTTCTTAAATAATTAGAATGTTTTCTTATAGTGGTTGGTATGCTTATGTGATAACTGTGGTAGGAAAATGGCTTTCTGGTAGTAAATGACTCTTTTTCATTTATCCACGCAGCACTCAACAGACACTTCAGTCCTATTTTTCTGGTTCTGGGCTCACGGCTAGGGAGACAAATAAACAAAATATCAAGTATGCAATGCTCACCTAGGGTCTGGTGGGTTTAGCCAGCGCACATACATATATCAGCTCTTTTTTTTTTTTTTTTTTTTGAGATTTTTAGATGGAGTCTGACTCTGTTGCCCAGGCTGGAATGCAGTTGTGTGATTTTGGATTACAGGCACCTACCACCATGCCCAGCTAATTTTTTTTTCTTTTTTTGAGGGAGTCTTGTGCTGTCGCCTAGGCTGGAGTGCAGTGATGCCATGGGTTCAAGCGATTCTTCTGTCTCAGCCTCCTGAGTAGCTGGGACTACAAGCACCTGCCACCACTCCCAGCTAAGATGGGATTTTACCGTATTGCCCAGGCTAGTCTCAACCTCCTGAGCTCAGGCAATCCACCCACCTCAGCTTCCCAAAGTACTGGGGTTATAGGCGTGAGCCACTGTACCTGGCTTTTTTTGTGTTTTTAATAGAGATGGAGTTTCACCATGTTGGCCAGACTGGTCTCAAACTCCTGACCTCAAGTGATCCACTCACCTTGGCCTCCCAAAGTGCTGGGATTACAGGCATGAGCCACCTTGCCCGGCCATATCAGCTCTTCTTAAGTACCTTTGATTCCTTGAGTTTTAGTAGAACTGACTGTAGCTCTCCTTCTTACCAGCTGTATGATGCCTGGCAAGTTGTCTAACCTGTCTTAACCCAGTTGCCTTATCTATAACATGGGGAAAATTATTGAATCTATTTTAAAGAATTCTCAGGAGGATTAAATGAGAAAAACACTTAGAATAGTGCCTGGCACTGGGTAAGCACTCAGCAAATGTTAACTGTCATCATCATGTTATTGTTACAGAAGGAGTTGAAGTATTCTGGAAAAGTCACTCAAACTCATCTAAATAGAATTTAACTTCCAGAAAGGAGTGTAACTAATCAGCTCTCAAAACCCTACCATCAGCCAGGTGCGGTAGCTCACACCTGTATTCCCAGCACTTTGGGAAGCTGAGGTGGGCGGAGATCAGGAGTTCGAGACCAATCTGACCAACATGGTGAAACCCCATCTGTATTAAAATTTTTTTAAATTCGCTGGGTGTGGTGGTGGGCGCCTATAGTCCCAGCTACTTGGGAGGCTGAGGTGGGAGGATTGCTTGAACCTGGGAGACGGAGGTAACAGTGAGTCGAGATCATGCCACTGTACTCTAGCCTGGGTGACAGAGTGAGACCTCATCTCAAAAACAACAACAAAAAACCCTACCATCAGAATCATAGTTTGTGAGTAACAGCCTCCACCCTAACACACACTTGCTTTCTCAATGTGAAAATGTTTTTGAGGCTGGTGCCTCAGGTGCATGCCTGTAATCCCAGCACTCCGAGGTGGGTAGATCACCCGAGGTCAGGAGTTTGAGACCAGCCTGGCCAACATGGCAAAACCCCATCTCTACTAAAGATGCAAAAATTAGCCAAGTGTGGTGGCGGGTGCCTGTCATCCCAGCTACTCTGGAGGCTGAGGCAAGAGGATCGCTTGAACCTGGAAGGCAGAGGTTGCAGTGAGCCGATAGCAAGCCATGTCACTCTAGCCTGCCAGCCTGGGTGAGTTTTTGAAACTCCGTCTCAAAAAAAAGAAAGAAAATGTATTTGAACAATATGAAGCCCTATAGACTGGTTACAGAAGAAGTGTAGCATTTGTTACAGATGTTAACAGTAACATGTATAACATGTATAGACCACATGTTGCTTTTTCTTATAAGTAAAAGACATGATTTGACTTTAGAAAAGTCAGTACTCAGCCATGATTTCACATCTGTGATGATGGAGGAGCTGTGCTCTGCACTAGGAATTTGCATTGAACAAAAACTCTTTTGGAGCTTAGTGGTCTGTTGGGAAAGACATGGTAAACAGTAGTAACAATAAAACAAGATGTGTTCTGTCTTTGGGAAGGTACAGTGTCACCAAGTCAGTTGCATGGGACTTTATCTCCTGTCTTTTCACTCAGTATGGGAATATTTAGAGCTGCCCACGGGCCTTCACTGGCTGGTCTGCAGTTTCCCAGGTCGTACACTGGGTTTTGCTCCTGTTTCATGCTCAGTGTGGTTCTCTGAGGGAGCCTGATCTGGACTCTCGCATGCCAGGCTTTCCTTGGACCTCACATCAGCTTGAAGGTAATTTGAGTCTGCTATCTGCTCTCCCCAACCTTTGACTTAGAAAAAGCGGGCCTGTTTTTACTAACCCAGAGGACATTTGCCATATGGCAGGTTAGGCAAGAGATGGTGACTCGGGTTAAGGAGACTCGAAAAGGATTTTCTGATCAGAAGGAAACTAAGCAACCCCTTTTGGCCAGAAATAATTGACCTTGGTAATGGTTACCAGGGAAGGCATTTGGATTCCATTAGAATGTGTCATGAAGCATGGAGAGCTTCAGGGCTATCCTGTTTAAAATGTCGAAGCCAAATACAATTTGAAGTGGAGTTTCTTCAAATCCTCAAGGAAATTACCATTTGGATTTTTAGAAAGCCTCAAATATTACAATGGAATCATTAGGCCAGGATCTAAGAAAATTGGCCTGGGTCTTTCAGATATCTGGCTGAAGATGGTAAAGAGTATAATAAAGATTGGAAAAAAACGGATATTTATGTTTTTGATGCTGAACGTTTGGCAGGCCACTATCATATGAATTGTTAAGTTATGACAGAAGGATGTTTGGGAATGTGGTAACTTTCGCTAAATAGCATGTATTTCTCTAGGTTTATGGTTTCAAACGTGAGATCTGTTGAAATATATTTCGGTCACTCATATACCTACTGAAAGATACTTCTAATTCATAACATATACAACTTGGGTTTTTTTTTTTTTTTTTTGAGACGGAGTTTCGCCCTTGTTACCCAGGCTGGAGTGCAATGGCGCGATCTCGGCTCACTGCAACCTCCGCCTCCTGGGTTCAGGCAATTCTCCTGCCTCAGCCTCCTGAGTAGCTGGGATTACAGGCACGTGCCACCATGCCCAGCTAATTTTTTGCACTTTTTAGTAGAGACGGGGTTTCACCATGTTGACCAGGATGGTCTCGATCTCTCGACCTCGTGATCCACCCGCCTCGGCCTCCCAAAGTACTGGGATTACAGGCTTGAGCCACCGCGCCCGGCCACAACTTGGGTTTTTAGGCATTCTCATTTTATATGGAAAATGCTTTGAAGTTTAAACTTTTTTTTTTTCTCCTTAGGAAAATAAAGCAGCCAATACAGACCATTTAACCACAGTACTCTACCTCCAGTTTGCTATTTGCTCAAGTTTGCAGAACTTGGAGAAAACGATTTTCTGCCTGCAAAAACTGATTTCTTTGCATCCTTTTAATCCTTGGAACTGGGGCAAGTTGGCAGAAGCTTACCTGAATCTGGGGCCAGCTCTGTCAGCAGCACCTGCGTCATCTCCGAAACAGCACAGTTTCACCTCAAGTGACAAAACGATCAAATCCTCCATTCCACACTCGGGAAAAGACTGTCTTTTGTGTTTTCCTGAAACCTTGCCTGAGAGCTCTTTATTTTCTATGGAAGCAAGTAGCAATAATAGACAGAAAAATGAGAACGCTCTTACAAATATCCAAAACTTTACGGCAGAAAAGAAAGAAGCAGTGCTGCTAGAGACTCAGCTGAAAGCGTGTGCCTCTTTCATACGAACCAGGTAAGCGAAGGAACGCTTAAGCAACACGTGGTGATCAGCTCAGAGGAAAGGCTTTCTTTTCTTTTCTTTTTTTGTTATTTATTTTTTTATATATAGAACGCTTCACGAATTTGCGTGTCGTCCTTGTGCAGGGGCCATGCTAATCTTCTCTGTATCATTCCAGTTTTAGTATATGTGCTGCCAAAGCAAGCACAGGAAAGGCTTTATTTTCTAATTTTAAGCTTCTAAAAGTTCTAGGCTAGACATTTGGTATATAGTTTTGAATTTTTCCTATGGTTCTGTTGAACGTTTGTCATTCTAGTATGTAATACTCGGAAACAGAACTACATTTGTTTAAGTATACCACCCATGTTGGCTGGGGGTGGTAGCATATGCCCGCAATCCCAGCTTTGGGAGGTTGAGGCAGGTGGATCGCTTGAACTCAGGAATTCGAGACTAGCCTGAGCAACATAGCGAAACCCCATTTCTACAATTTTTTTTTTTTGAGACAGAGTTTCACTCTTGTTACCCAGGCTGGAGTGCAATGGCGCGATCTCAGCTCACTACACCCTCTGCCTCCCAGTTCAAGCAATTCTCCTGCCTCAGCCTCCTGAGTAGCTGGGATTATAGGCATGTACCACCATGCCCAGATAATTTTGTATTTTTAGGAGATGGGGTTTCTCTATGTTGGTCAGGCTGGTCCCGAGCTCCCGACCACAGGTGACCCACCCGCCTCGGGCTCCCAAAGTGCTGGGATTACAGGCATGAGCCACCATACCCAGCCGGTAACAAGTACTTTATATCCTTAAAGTATAAGACTTTGAGGGAAGGGTAGGGAGAATACACTTGACCACTTCTATAAATGTGAGAAGCAGTAGACTCTCTCATGTTTCAAATGGTACCAAAGAATGTACAGATCTTTTTTTTTTTTTTAACTCAGGAGAATTCAAGGAATATTAACAGTGAGGCCTACTGAGAAGTGGTATCTATTTGGCAAATTTTATTTTATAAATTTTTTTTTTGAGATGGAGTTTTGCTCTTGTTGCCCAGGCTGGAATGCAGTGGCACGATCTCAGCTCACTGCAACTTCTGTCTCCAGGTTCAAGTGATTCTCCTGCCTCAGCCTCCCAAGTAGCTGGCATTATAGGTGTGCACTACCATACTCAGCTAATTTTTGTGTTTTTAGTAGAGACGGGGTTTTACCATGTTAGCCAGGCTGGTCTCAAACTCCTGACCTCAGGTGATCCACCCCCATCAGCCTCCCAACGTGCTGGGATTACAGGGGTGAGCCACCGTGCCCAGCCCTATTTGGCAAACTGTAAAATGTATTCAGTGGATGCTTATTTAGCATTTACCATGTCACTGTAATTCAGAGGCACATTGAATGACAACTCTGTGCCAGACATGTGCTTGGTGCTAAGATCACAATGATCGTTTAAAAAGCAGTCCCTTTCCTTACGCCGCTCACTGACTTAGGGAAATGGTGTGTCTAGCCAGTAACTGGCAGCATAGGTGCTGAATAGTCTATCAGTGCTGTGAACAGAATTCTAGGTGGACCGATGTCAGGGAGCTGTTGGCATGACCAAAAGCAGGAAGCCTTTACAGAAGGGATGATACCTCTGGGAACCCTTGTCAGTTGACTGCTGAGTGCTGGATGCTTTGTATATATTATTTCATTTTAATCCTCACAACTTGGGAATACCTATTGGGATCCCACTTTATGGACCAGGAAGCTATTAAAATCATCTCCAGAGTGGTGTAGCTGTGAAGCGCAGGGCCAGGATTTGGAACTGGTTTCTGATTCCAGACCCTGCGTTCTTCCAGGTTATCTTGCTCACGCCACGTTACTATTCCCCATGTGGGAAGAGGCATGCTAGGTAAAGAGAAAGAAAGCACTGCCCAAAGGGGCAGCGGATCCATTCTACAACAGTGCTGTCACATTGTCTGGTGGTAAGAGCAGCACTGGTGGTCAGGGCTCGAGGGAGGCTGCGGCCACAGTGCCAGAGTGGCGGAGGAAGTAGGAAGCAGGACGTTAGCATCAGAAGTGGTTTTGAAGAGTTTAGTAAATTGCTGATACTAAGGGAATGAGCCTGGACTCTTCCACTTACCAGCTGTCTGACCTTCACACATTCCTTCAACTCTAGTTTCTAGTTGCTTAATCTTGATAGACGGACAAATGGGGAAAATGCCTGCTTCCTGGGGTTGTATTTAAAGTACTTACTGTCCTACATGGTATGTAGTAGGCACTTGATAAATGTTAGCTCTTAGTACTTTTCTTTTTGTTGTTTTTTTGCGGGTTTTTTTGAGACGAAGTTTCGCTTGTCGGCCAGGCTGGAATGCAGTGGTGTGATCTCAGCTCATTGCAACCTCTGCCTCCTGGGTTCAAGCAATTCAATTCTCCCACCTCAGCCTCCCAAGTAGCTGGGATTACAGGCATCCACCATCACTCCCAGCTAATTTTTGTATTTTTAGTAGAGATGGGGTTTTGCTATGTTGGCCAGGCTGGTCTCGAACTGCTGACCTCCAGTGATCCACCCTCCTCAGCCTCCCAAAGCACTAGGATTACAGGCGTGAACCACTGCGCCCGACCCTGTTTTTCTTGTTTTTCTTGTTAGCACAAGATGTTTAATGTCACAAGGGTTTGGTCCTTGTGCTGAAGGCCTGAAGAGTATTCGCAAGTTTTAAATACAGGAGCATGTGATAAGACCTGTGATTGAGAGAGAGAGAGCTCTGATGGCTGCGATGCTGGATTAGAAGGAGGCGCTAGGGACACCAGTGAAGAGGTTGTGGACTAATTAGTGGAAGGGGATGAGGGCCTGACCTAGGCTGGTGCAGTGATAATAAAAAAAAAAGAAATGGATGTCACTGCAGGATAGAATAGACAGGACATGGTGACCAGTGGAGTGTGTGGGAATGATGAGGGTGGAGAGAACGGAAGAGTCTGCAGTCTCTCGGGGGTACCCAGGTGGATAGCAGTGCCTTTGCTGAGATAGGACACATGAGAGGATGAGCAGAGCTGATTTGGGTAAAAGGCAACAATTTTAGGATCGAAATACCAAGACTCAGGTGCCTGTGGGTTATCCAGAGGATAGAAAGCAAGTTACATCAAAGGGGTCACAAAGGCGAATGCTTCCCGAGGCTGGGTAGGTGATGTCAGCAGGTCAGACTGAAGCAGATACATGGTCGTTTTACCCGTGAGTCAGGTCAGGCTCCTTTCTGAAACTCCCCACTGGCTTCCCATTGCACTTACATCAATACCTTTCTTTCCACGGCCTATAAGGTCTGATTTGAATTGGCTCTGCCTTTTCTCCCCCACCTCATTTACTACACATTTTTCCCTCTGGCTGTGTTCCAGCCACAATGATCTTGATGATTTTCAAGCATACCCAGCTCGTTCCTCTGTCAGAGCCCCATTCTCCCTGGCCAAGCCCTTGCCCCCAGATGTTCTCCCACTGGCTGCTTGTCAGGTAGCTCGTAGCTTGCCTGGTATCTCCGGAAAGCCTTCCTGCCTACACTGCCCCATCTGAAGAGGACACTGTGTCCACCCTGTCTTGGATTTTTTTCATAGCACTTGTCACTACCTGAAATACTTAGTGTGGTCTCCCTCCTCCCATTCCACGGGGCTGCCAATGTGTTTTGCTCTCCAGTATCTCTCAATGCCTAGCATAGTATCAGGCACATTCCACAGTATGGAGAGCCGAGTGCTTCTGGGCGTTGCAGTAGGTACAAGTGAGAAAAACGGGGAAAATCTGCATCTTCAGTATTTATTAAAAACAGAAGGAGCCAAAGGAGCAGGACAGGAGGAAAGTAAGTGAGAGCGGAGACCAGCTGTGATCATGACGGGGATGTCAGTGGTAAGTTATTGCAAAGTAGTTGTCAGAGGGTCATCAAAGCTTTGGCCCTGCTTGGGGTAATTGAAGTGTGCTAGCGAATCTAATTAGTCCTTGCGGTCAAGTTGCTGTGGGGTCAGCGAGATGGAAGGGTCACGGAACACTGACTTCAAAGGAGCAAGTCCGGCCCTCCTGTGCGAGAGGAGTCTCTGATTGGGAGGCTCATTCATTTCACTCCGAATTACTTACCTTTCAATCCCTTGACTTCCACAGGAAGCCCTTTTGAGGCGGGAAGCTCTTTTCAGGTGTTGCTCTCTAAAGATTTCTTTGAGCAGTTTTTCATCTTTATATTTTAGAAAAGATGAATCTCCAATGTAACGTTGGGCAATTTATTCGGAGTCGGAAGCTTTAGGGATTCAAATGATAGTTCTAGTGGGGGTGGGTACCTGCTTTTTAACCTCGTGGGACTCGAAGCCGACTGAATACTTGGGCTCTCTGAACGTTTCCTTGCTGCTTTCCTTTATCTGGAAGCGTTGGGACTTTTCCTCACACATTGGGACTTTTCGGTTTTTCAGGCTTCTGCTTCAGTTTACCCAACCTCAGCAAACATCATTTGCTTTGGAGAGGAACTTAAGGACTCAGCAGGAAATTGAAGATAAAATGAAAGGGTTCAGCTTCACAGAAGACACTTTGCTATTGATAGCCAAGGTGAGTGTCTCCCTTGGGTTTATGTGAAACAAGACATCATAGCTATTTTCCCTGGCTCTGATAGCATTTTTGAGAAAGCAGGGCCAAATCTCATCTACTGAAGGACTTGTCTCCCTCCTTTGTGTGCCTTTTGATCACTCAGCAGTCACCAAGGTGGCCTCTTGATCAGCATCCCCCTGCAGTGCGGGACGCAGGGGCTATTTCATGTACTTGTCAGTGCTTGTTAGCATCTGCCCGCCTGAACATCATCAATGCCCAATAATTGTTTGTTTCAGGGCTGAATAAACGAATGAATGAATGCTCACATTTATGCAGCAGGTCTATGTTTTTTCCCCCTCCATTCATCGTAACAGCTTGTGAAGAAGAGTAGAGCTAGAGTTGAGGCTTAGAGAGCTTGTGACTTGCCTGCGGTCAGATTTTCAGTGGCAGAGCTGGTCTGGAGCTCATGTTTGCCAGCTGCAAGTTCATTTTCTTTCTGTTCTACCCTGTTACTGCTTTGATGGTTGTGTAGAAATTGAGAGGTCAATTTTTTGAAAACCAACATTTAAACCTTCATTGGCTTTTTTTTTTTTTTTGAGGCAGAGTCTTGCTCTGTTTCCCGGGTTGGAGTTCAGTGGCACAATCTCAGCTCACTGCAACCTCTACCTCCAGGGTTGAAGTGATTCTCGTGTCTCAGCCTCCCGAGTACCTGGGATCACAGGTGTGCACCACCATGCCCAGCTAATTTTTGTATTTTTGGTAGAGACAGGGTTTGCCATGTTGGCCAGCCTGGTCTTGAACTCCTGGCCTCAAGCAATCTACCCACCTCGGCCTCCCAAAGTGCTGGGATTACAGGAGTGGGCCACCATGCTCAGTGTCTTCCCTTTACTTCTGAGAGGCTATACTAGTCTGTTTTTCTCCTGTGTTTCTTAACATTCCTCTGCCTCTTGGGACTCAGCAGGCTTCGTGTGTAGCATAAATGATGGCACTCTCTAAGGATTCCCTTGGGCTCTCTGTGTTCTACTTTTCTCCCACAGAAAGCATCACTACACCCCTAGGGGCCATTGTCACCTCTGGGTTGATTACTCTCGTCTCTAGTCTCATCTCTGGAACATGTCTCACATCAGATGAATTGCCTACTGGGTGGTTAACCTGGGATAATTATTGATTACTCTTCTGTCACTTCAAATACAAAATGTCTAAAATGGAAATACTCATCAAAACACTTCCTGTAATCCCAGCACTTTGCAAGGCTGAGGTGGGCAGATCACCTGAGGTCAGGAGTTCGAGACCAGCCTGGCTAATATACTGAAACCCCATCTCTACTAAAAATACAAAAAGTTAGCTGGGCGTGGTGGTACATACCTGTAATCCCAGCTACCCAGGAAGCTGATGCAGGAGAATTGCTTGAACCAGGGAGGCAGAGATTGCAGTGAGCCAAGATCATGTCATTGTACTCCAGCCTGGACAACAGAGGGAGACTCTGTCTCAAAAACAAAACCAAAAAACTAAAAAACACTTCCAGTCAGTCTTTTAGTTACCCCGAGTTCCAAATCCTCCGGAAAGCTTTCCCAGAATGCCCTGCTCTGTGGTAATTTCTCTTCTGAGCTCAGATAGTGATTGCTTGAATAGATAGCTCTTTGGGCCCTAAAAAGACATAAGAATGTGTCTTATCTTTTCAACCAGATTTTAGGTTTCTTGTAAGTGATAGTATGTTTTGAGCATCTCTGTATTCTTCATCACGCTCGATAAATCTGTTGGTTAGGTGAAAGAGTAGTTCTCTTATTTTTTTTGAGACGAGCCTCGCTCTGTCGCCCAGGCTGGAGCGCAGAGGTGCTATCTCAGCTCACTACAGCCACCTCCCGGGTTCAAGTGAAGAGTAGTTTTCTATCTTGGCAATGCATGTGGTATACCTGTGGAGCTTTCTAAAAACATGGAAAATGTCTGGGTCCTTCCTTGTTAGGGTTGTAGTTAGGATTATAACGTACATTTTGTTTTGTACTTTTTTTTATTTTTTGAAAGATAAGGTCTCTTTCTGTCACCCAGGCTGGGGTGCAGTGGCATCACCTTAGCCCACTGCAGTCTGAAATTCCCAGGCTCAGGTAGTCCTTTCACCTCAGCCTCCCAAGTTGATAGGATTACAGGCACCCACCACCATGTCCAGCTAATTTTTAAAATTTTTGTAGAGGCAGGTTCTCACTATGTTGCCCAGGCTGGTCTCAAACTCCTGGCCTCAAATGATCATCCCACCTTGACCTCCCTAAGTGCTAGGATTACAGGTGTGAGCCACCATGCCCGGCCTTTATTTTGTGCTCTTAATTTTAGTTAACTTGTGATAACATAACCTCATATTCTTAAATATTCTTTGATCACCTGCTTTTTTTTTTCCTGTTTATAATTATTTGAATTAGGATCCAAATAAGGCATAGACACTATATATACTGTAGATATATATACTATATATACTATAGATACTTTTATCGCATGTCTTTTTTATTCTGTAAAAACTGCTCTTCTCCTGCTTTCTCTTTTACTCTAATAAAATATATAACTTAAATTTGCCATCTCAATCATTGTTAAATGTACCATTCAGTGGCATTAAGTACTTATACAGTGTCGTGCCACCGTGACCACTATTTCCAAAGTTTTTCATCACCCCAAACAGAAACTCTACCCGTTAAGCAATAGCTCCCTATTCCCTTTGCCCTCTACCCACTCATAACTTCTAATCTACTATTTTTCTGTATGAATTTGTCTATTCTAGAAAGTGGAATCATGTAATATGTGCCCTTTTGTGTCTGCCTTATTTCACTTAGTGTAATGTTTTGAAGGTTTATCCATATTTTTGCATTTATCAAAACTTCATACCTTCTTACAGCTAAATAATAATAATATATGTGTACATATCTCATTTTATGTTTATCTACTCATCTGTTGATGGAGACTTGAGTTGTTTCTACCTTTTGGATATTTTGGATATTGTGAATAATGGTGCTGTGAACATTAGCATATAAGTATGTTCAAGTCTCTGTTTTGTTTTGTTTTTTTGAGACAGAGTCTTGTTCTGTCACCCAGACTGGAGTGCAGTGGCATGATCTCGGCTCACTGCAGTCTCCACCTGTTAGGTTCAAGCAATTCTCTTGTCTCAGCCTCCCAAGTAGCTGGGACCACAGGCATGTGCCACCACGCCCAGCTAATTTTTATATTTTTAGTAGAGACAAAGTTTTGCCATATTGGCCAGGTTGGTCTCAAGCTCCTGGCCTCAAGTGATCTGCTTGCCTGGGCCTCCCAAAGTACTAGAATTACAGGCATGAGCCACCACACCTGGCTGTCTCTGCTTTTAATTCTTTTGGGCAGGCGTCCCCAAACTTTTTACACCGGGGGCCAGTTCACTGTCCCTCAGACTGTTGGAAGCCCGCCACATAACTGTGCTCCTCTCACTGACCACCAATGAAAGAGGTGCCCCTTCCTGAAGTGCGTTGGGGGCTGGATAAATGGCCTCAGGGGGCCGCATGCGGCCCAGGGGCCGTAGTTTGGGGACGCCTGCTTTTGGGTCTACACCTAGGAGTGGAATTGCTAGGCCATATATTATTAACCCTGTTTAATTTTTTTAGGAGCCGCCAAACTGCACATTTTATTTTCTATTTTGTGTTATTTACCTAACACTATGACATAGGCATGACCTTATATCCTATATATTATTTGAATACATAATTTTTAATGACTAGATAGTAGTCAATTTTTGGACGAACTATAATTTATGTAGTTCCCTGTGTTGAACATTTAACAAATAGTACCTATTTTAATAAATCCTGGCAAGAAAATTAATGTGTGCATTTGTACCTTTTGGAATAGATGATTAGAAATAGAATCACTGGATTTAAATATATAAGCATTTTAAAGACTTAAAGCCATTTCCGAATTGTCATTTAGAAAGGTTGTTTCAATGTATATATCCTCCAGCAATATGAGGAAGCATCGTTTTTCTACCCTGATCCTGAATATTAGATTGAACCACGTGTAATCAGTCATTTTGACCTGTCAAACCAGCAATTTTATATAATTTAACTTAATATATATTTTTTTAACTTTACAAATTGGTAGCTTGGTAGGTTAAAATGTCATATTTTTAGCATTAATGTTTATTTGATTACTGTTAAGATGAACAATTTTTTCATGTGTTTATTGGCCATTGGTATCATGTTAAATGCCTAGTCATGATTTTGCATCATTGTGTTTTTCTTGCCAATTTTAAGAGCTCTCTCTATGTTAGACTTAAGTATCCTTCTTTTTTTTTTTTTTTTTTTTTTTTTTTTTTTGAGATGGAGTCTTACTCTGTAGTCAGGCTAGAGAGCAGTGGCACGATTTTGGCTTATTGCAACCTCCGCCTCCCGAGTTCAAGTGATTCTCCTGGCTCAGCCTCCTGACTAGCTGGGACCACAGGCATGTGCTACCATGCCCAGCTAATTTTTTATTTTTCCTAGAAATGGGGTTTCACCATGTTGAGCAGGATGGTCTCCATCTCTTGACCTTGTGATCTCTGCCCACCTCCGCCTCCCAAAGTGCTGGGATTATAGGCATGAGCCACTGCACCTGGCCAACACTTAAGTATTCTTCTATATGTTACCATATTTTATGAAGTTTCTGGGGTTTTTTTTTGGTTTCTTTTTGTTTTTTTTTGGCATATGGAAGTTTAAAATGTTTATGTGGCTGAATGTTTGGCAGATTTTTTGACACCTGTAACTATTGTGCCTGCCTCTTCCTTTTTGGGGAATAGTATGTTGTTTGGATATTACTATTTATTTACTTACCTTTTTTTATTTTTAAGAAAGGTGTTTTTGGTATTTTATACCAGATTTAAAAATACTACATTTCGTTGAATTCGGGAAACCATCCATTGTAAGCATATTATTTGATATATTACTTAAAGAAAAATAAGATACCATTTACACTATCACACAGAACCTCACTCAAAAGATTATCAGATACATCTTTTTTTTTTTTTTTTTTAAGACAGGGTCTCACTCTATCTCCCAGGCTGAAGTACAGTGGCATAATCATAGCTCACTGCAACCTCCAACTCCTGAGCTCAAGTCATCTTCCCACCTCAGCCTCCAAGTAGCTGGGACTGCAGTTGAATGCTGCCATGCCCAGCTAATTTTTAAAAGCTTTTTGGCCAGGTGCAGTGCTTCATACCTATAATCCCAGCACTTTGGGAGGCCAAGGTTGGTGGATCACTTGAGGTTGGGAGTTTGAGACCAGCCTAGCCAACATGGTAAAACCCCATCTCTACTAAAAATACCAAAATTAGCCGGGCATGGTGGCACTTGCCTCTAGCCCCAGCTACTCTGGAGGCTGAGGTAGGATGATTGCTTGAATCCAGGAGGCAGAGGTCACAGTGAGCCAAGATTGTGCCACTGTACTCCAGCCTGGGTGACAGAGCGAGACTTTGACTCAAAAAAACCAGTTGTTTGTAGGGGCGGGGCTCTTGCTCTGTTGCCCTGGCTTCTCTCTAACTCCTGGCCTTAAGCAATCATACTGCTTCGACCTTCCAAAGTGTTGAGATGATAGGTGTGAGCCACCACACCTGGCTCAGATACATCTTGATTTCTGAGATATTAAAATACAAAAACAAAAAATATCTTAGAACTGATGACATACCTTATAGACGTTAGTAAATGCTGACTGTTGCCTAGTGAAGTTTGGTTCTCATTGGCAGTTTCCTCAAACAATGTGTAATCTTTGAAGACTTAAACCCAGTCCTCAAAACCATTCTTTGAGCTTGCCTCTAATTCATTATAATTTGAGTTTTCATGAACATATTCCATATCCAGATTTGCAGGAACTTCAGAGATGATCTAATACAAATCTGTGTAGATTAAATTCCCTCTATGACATCCGTGCCCCATGGCTACATAACCTTTTATGCCAGATGTTAGGAAATGTTTTGGAACTTAATTTTAGTTCATTGTCATTACCCAAGGTCAGTTTGCTTATTTAATGGGTTCAGATACAAGCTTTTCTACAACCTAGCTTTGTGATGTCTTCTCAAAGAAACCCACAGTCTGGGGACGTGACCCTCTGTTCCGCTGGGCCTAATTCTTAACCAGTAGGGGGCAGTATTGGACCTTCGTTGGTAACCAGCTCCTTAAATCCCCAAGATTGCTTTGGTTATACAGGGATTAGAGTCCTTTGGTGTCAGGAGAGGGTGGGCCCAGCTACTTGCTACTATTGCATTCTCACCAACAGAATATGCTCTTTAATACAAAAAGGGTGACTCAGTACTCCTGGTAAACCAAATAGTACTGCTGCCAGAACAGCACCTAAGTGATTCACTCCGGGAGAATGACAATAGAAATATGGAATATTTTACTTGTCCTTGGATAACTACTTCTGAACAAATCTCTTTTCAATTTGTTGGAAATCTCCCCGGCTGCTGAAGTATTTTCTGCCTTAGTATAAAAGCCTCTACAACTGATGGCTAGCATTCCATGTCTACTGCCTCTTTTGTTGGGACAGTTTTTTTTTTTTTTTTTTCTCCTGCTACAGGTTATGGGAGAAGATATCCCAGAAAAAATAAAAGAGGAAGTTCACCCAGAGGTGAGGTGTGTTGGCTCCGTAGCCCTGAGTGCCTTGGTGACCGCATCCCCGGAGGAATTTGAAGACAAATGGTTCAGAAAGATCAAAGACCATTTCTGTCCATTTGAAAATCAGTTCCATACAAAGATACAAATCTTGGCTTAATGGGTTATAAAAAACAAAACCGCAAACATCTTGTGCTGTATTAATTGTCCTTGTTTACCTCATGCAGGATCCACTGTAAATCATGGAGTATAACGAATTAAAAGTGATTATGTTTTATAAAACTGGCTTCTGTCTCAAATGATTTCTACTACATTCAGTTTATGTTTTGTTTTCTTTTTGGAGGTTTTCTATCCTGTTATAAGTGCTGTATCTTAGGCCTGCTACCCCTTCGGAAGATACCTGTTGGGAAGTGTATCAAGGAGGCCTTTCGATTTGTGGTCTTTTAAAAACAGTTACTATATTATAGCCAGCAGCATGAGAATCCACATTGTTTAGGTAAATTCATTGGGAATGAGCAAGAAGGTTGAGATGTGAGACTAAGCTATTTCTAAGAAGGGTGTGCCAAGCCCTGTGAAGGGTCTGAGATCTTACCCTACTTGTAAGCTAACAGGTTAGCCACTCAGTGGATGCTGGCAGAAGACAGCGGCTCCTGGCTCAGAGACAAAGGATGTTATGACCCATGGCCCAGCAAGCAGTATGAACTTCGGTGTATTTGCATCAGTTTCTCTTGCCTCCAAGTACCAAGGGCACATAATGGGCACATAAGGAATGCCTACATTCACACAGTGACGTGCATTACCACATCTTGTGATACACACAAAACTGGTTGCCTTGCAGGAGAGGAGTGCTGAGTTTAGGAAACTCAAATCTTTTATAATGGGCAGTCAGCATGCTTGCCCTTTGCTCCAGAGGTAGACACTGTCTACTTGTTGTTGTTGTTGTTGTTGTTGGTTGAGAGAGTTTCGCTCTTGTTGCCCAGGCTGGAGTACAGTGGTGCAATCTCAGCTCACTGCAGCCTCTGCCTCCCAGGTTCAAGCTATTCTTCTGCCTCAGCTATCTGAGTAGCTGGGATTACAGGCATACGCCACCACGCTTGGCTAATTTTGTATTTTTAATAGAGCTGGGGTTTCTCTATGTTGCTCGGGCTAGTCTCGAACTCCTAACCTCAGGTGATCGGCTCACCTCGGCCTCCCAAAATGCTGAGATTACAGGCATGAGCCACCGCGCCTGGCCGCTATCTACTTTTTCAGGCTGTTTGCTGTGCAAACATCCCAGGGAAGATAGACAGAAACAAAGAGCACTGAGTGCCTCTCTCACAAGATGCACAGAAACACCAGAGCGCCATGGAGCTTTAGGGCGATCATCCTGGTCCTTTCAGCCACACGAATTTTAATCACGGCCTGTAACCTGTAACATCATCTTCAAATGCAAAGGGCCATTACCTTACTCAGTGAATTACCTGGGATGGAAGAGCTCCCTGATTCACAATAACCCAAAAATTTCAGCAAATGTTGTCCTACACAACTTTTTTTTTTTTTTTTGAGACCGAGTCTCACTCTTGCCCAGTCTGGAGTGCAGTGTCATGATCTCGGCTTGCTGCAACCTCCACCTCCTGGGTTTAAGAAATCCTCCTGCCTCAGCCTCCCAAGAAGCTGGAATTAGGTGTACCTCACTACTAGTGCCCGCTAATTTTTGCATTTTTATACTGCACAGCTTTTATTTGATCTTCCTTAGCAGAGGAAGAGAATTCCAGCCATGGGCTAAAAGGTGTAGTCATCAGGGTTTCCCTCCCCACTCTTCTGCCTCATTCACTCTTTCTAGTACCCTCCCCCAAACAGGCAAGGAACTACCCTTATATTTTGAACAATCTGTTTTTTTTTTTCTTTTTTCTTTTTTTTTTTTAGATGGAGTCTTGCTCTGTTGCCCAGGTTGGAGTGCAATGGTGTGATCTTGGCTTACTGCAACTCTGGCATTCCTGGGTTCAAGCAATTCTGCCTCAGTCTCCTGAGTAACTGGGACTACAGGCATGCACCACCATGCCTATTTTTTTAATATTTTTAGTAGATATGGAGGTTATTTTTTGTGTTTTTAGCAGAGATGGGGTTTTACCATGTTAGCCAGGTTGGTCTCGAACTCCTGACCTTGTGATCTGCTTGCCTTGACCTCCCAAAGTGCTGGGACTACAGGTGTGAGCCACTGAGCCAGGCCGAACAACTCTTAGTGACTTCAATAGCATGACCAACAAGTACACATTGAGTCTTTAATGTGAAACCAAAGACCTTGTATAATTCATAGACATTTCAATTTTAGGAATTAAAAATGGTGAAAATCCTTCAGCTCTGAATTGCTGTCCTGCCATTCATTCAGCCATTACCTGTCACGTATTGAGCTATGATGTGTCAAGCATTGTGCGGTTGGTGAGGAGACACTGGTTATCGTGGAGTTTGTGGTCTAGTTGTGGATTGCCCTCAGGATGGGGCAAAGACTCCAGCATGGCTTGCCAAGCCTTTCATGGTATAGCTCTGGCTACCTAGAGCCCCATCCTTCACTAGTCCTCGCCTTTAAATGGACCATGACCTTCACCTGAATCCCCCCTACACCGCCATCCAATAGCTAACTCACATTCATTTTTTCAGGTCTGGTTTAGATGTAGCATCCCAGAAGTCTTCCTGCCCTGCCAGTGGTGGGAGGTTTCCCACTGTTGTGCTCCCTTACTGCCCATTCATTCCTATACTGACCCTTATTCCTGTGTTTTATATTCCATGTCTGCCTGATGGTTTGCCACAATAGACTAAATTTTGTAAAGTCAGGGACTATGACTGTTTTGTGTATATTTGTATCCCCAAGGCAGAATAACCTGGTGTCTCACTCAATATTTGTTGGAAGAATTGCTGAATGAATTAGCCAGCATCTTAATTTGTGCAAAAAGTTCATACCCTGCAGCTCTGATACTGTGCTGAGGCAGTCCTAGCACCCTGCCTGTTTCTGTCTGTAGCAAGCCTCTTCCTTCTGTCCATCTGATCCCCCTAGAAATGCCTCATTTTTCCCCCTAACCCTCCTCGGCTTCCGATCTCTATCCTAGCCCACTTGCCAACTTAGCCCGTGCTCTGAGCATTTCATCTTCTGGTTTTCCTCCCAGACCTGCTGTCTGCACCCTCCTGAATGCTCAGATCCTGCTCACACCTCACTTCCGCCCCACCTTGCCTTCCTGGCAGCAGTGTGCTGATGTGAGTGAGAACCTGGCCTCCTGAACTCCGATACCTCTGCTGTAATAAAGGGTGGGAAAGGACACCCAAGAACACTGGGCACCTCTGCGTTTCATCACTGAAAAAGTCATCACGGTCATATCCAGCACAGATGGTGAAGGTAATTGAGCAATGATTATGCTAAAGAAAAATCTTCAGGCCTGCCAATTCAGACATCACTACCCTTGGCAGTGAGTGAATCACTCAGAAGGTGAGCAAATGTGCGCCACACATGTGACTGCACTCCAGGTGCATGGGGTGGGTGGGACCTAAGAAAAAGCAATTTCTTGCCTTTTCCACTCTCAAAAGGTCTGTCTTCACCATTTGCTCCTAAAGGGAATCTATGCTGGGTGTGTGAGCTGGTAAGAGTCTTTCTTTTTTTTTTTCTTTTTGAGATAGAGTATAGCTCTGTCATCCAGGCTGGAGTGCAGTGGTATGGTGCGATCTTGGCTTATTACAACCTCCACCTCCTGGGTTCAAGTGATTCTCGTGCCTCAGCCTCCCAAATCGCTGGGATTACAAGCACACACCACCACAGCCTGCTGATTGTTATATTCATAGTAGAGATGGAGTTTCATCATGTTGGCCAGGATGGTCTTGAAATCCTGAACTCAGGTGATCCACTGGCCTCGGTCTCCCAATGTGGTGGGATTACAGGTATCAGTCACTGTGCCTAGCCATCTTTTGTCCTTTATATTCTCACACCCCTACCATCTTCACACTGGAGCCAGAGGGATCTTAGAAAGATCATTCTCACAGTCCTGGCTGGGCACGGTGGCTTACACCTGTAATCCCAGCACTTTGGGAGGCTGAGGCGGGTAGATCATGAGGTCAAGAGTTCAAGACCAGCCTGGCCAAGGTGGTGAAACCCTGTCTCTACTAAAACAAAAATTAGCTGGGCATAGTCTCAGGTGCCTGTAATGCCAGCTACTGAGGAAGCTGAGGCAGAGAATTGCTTGAACCCTGGAGGTAGAGGTTGCAGTGAGCCAAGATCATGCCATGGCACTCCAGCCTGGGCGACAGAGTGAGACTCCATCTCAAAAAAAAAGAAGAAGAAAAAGGAAAGATCATTCTCACAGTCCTTCATGAGGTCTGCGAGGCCCCGTGTGGCCTGGCCCTGACCTGCTCCAGCCCAATTCGCTCTGATCCCTTGGGACCGTACACACCCTGGCTTCCTTTCTTGTTCTTGGACTCCTCAAGCTTGCCCTTCCTCAAGTCTTTGACCATCCAGTCACCTCCACTTGGAAGATTCTCCCCTGCTCCCATTCTCCCCAGCCTTAAACATCTCCTTCCTATGGATCTCCGCTCAAAAGTCACTCTCAGACAAGATGTTCCCAATCCCCAGACTGGCTCAGGTTCCCCTTCAAATGTCATCATATGCCCGTTTTTTTTTTTTTTTCTTTTTTTTTTTTAGATGGAGTTTTGCTCTTGCTGCCCAAGCTGGAGTGCAAAGTCATGATCTCTACTCACTGCAACGTCCACTTCCTGGGTTAAAGCAATTGTCCTGCCTCAGCCTCCTGAGTAGCTGGGATTACAGGTGCACCACACTCAGCTAATTTTTTGTATTTTCAGTAGAAACCGGGTTTCGCCAGGCGCGGTGGCTCAAGCCAGTAATCCCAGCACTTTGGGAGGCTGAGGCGGGTGGATCACGAGGTCAAGAGATCGAGACCATCCTGGTCAACAAGGTGAAACCCTGTCTCTACTAAAAATACAAAAAATTAGCTGGGCATGGTGGCGCATGCCTGTAATCCCAGCTACTCAGGAGGCTGAGACAGGAGAATCGCCTGAACCCAGGAGGCGGAGGTTGTGGTGAGCCGAGATCGTGCCATTGCACTCCAGTCCTGGGTAACAAGAGCGAAACTCCATCTCAAAAAAAAAAAAAAGAAAGAAAGAAAGAAACAGGGTTTCACCATGTTAGCCAGGCTGGTCTCCAACTCCTGACCTCAGGTGATCTGCCTGCCTCCATCTCCCAATGTGTTGGGATTATAGGCATGAGCCACTGCTCCCAGCCTTTTTTTTTTTTTTTTTTTGAGACAGAGTCTCACTCTGTCACCCA